TTCTCATCCGGCTCTTTGCAGCCTCTGAGACAAAACAGATCAAAGCAAGAACACATGAGGACGCGGGGAGTTGGACTGCTTGCAATCATTATAATCATCACATTGAATGCAGTGGTGCGCCGTGCACTACGTCCGCTTTCTACCTCCCATTTAGCCCTCCTCTTTCCCTCTTACAGGCCTGGATAATAAAACAGTTGGACGAAAGAAAGGCGGATGCGGACGCGGGGAGTCGAACCCCGGTTGGTTGCTTTTACTTTTGTTTAATAGTTTAATGAAGACACGGGTGCGCCGTGCACCACGTCCGCTTCTTACCTCTCCTCTTTGCCTCAATAATACCAGGACTTTTGAAGCCGAAAGAGAAAAATGGAAGGAACCTCGCGAAGGCGGACACGGGGAGTCGAACCCCGTTAACTGCTTACATGCTTAAAATCGACAGTTACAGAATGCAGCGGCGTGCGCCGTGCACCACGTCCGCTTCCTACCTCCGTTCTGCCCCTCACTAATACCACCTGTTTATACTCTGGCAGGAAAAAGGTTACTGGGGGAGGCTCCCGAAGGCGGGCGCGGGGAGTCGAACCCCGGTGAACTGCTTGCAATATTCGCCGATTTCAATGAAGGCAGCGGTGCGCCGTGCACTACGTCCGCTTCCTACCTCTGTTCTGCACTTGGGTTTATGCGGGGTTTTGGAGCCCTTTCCAGAAGCATGCGAGTGCATTTTTTTTGCCGCTCGTAATTCCGCATGAGAGGAACGACGGAGAGGGAAAAAAACGACAATGAGAATCAGGCTCGAATCGGAGTTTTCAAACGCAAATACGAAAGGCTCTCCCTCAATACACAATTGAATGCAAAGAGAAAAAGAAGCCAGGCTCGGCACCGCGTGTGGCGTCCATCGAACATTCTACCGAATATTCCTGAGGGAAGGTCGAGAAGAGGGCGGTGTCTCCGTCAATTCAATCAAGATCTTCCTGCAAATTTGTGCGAGAGTAAGCGGTGTGTCTCGTTCTATTACGACGCGGCGCGGGCAAAACGAGCGCGCGTGCGAGGGGAAGGTGGGAGGTATGGTGGCGGCGGCGCGCAGGCGCGATTCGGGCGTGGGATTTCTGTGTTGGGGAGGGAAGGGGAGGGCGTGGCGATAAGTAATGTGCAGCAAGTGAGGGTGACGCAGGGCATCTTACAACACACGCGAGGTACACATACGACGCTCGTAGTACGAGCGTCGTATGTGTTGAAGCGTCTGTCTAGGAGAGACTATGCTCTTCTTGGGTCATCAGACATAGGATATTGCGTATCACAAACGCAGACACGGGGCAGTTGAGCTGCCTGCACTTGACAATAATTTATAAAAATATTTACAATAGAGGCAGCGGTGCGCCGTGCACCACGTCCACTTTCCACTTCCCTTTTAGCCCTCTTCTCATCCTTGTAAGAACGAGGCTATGCGGACACGGGAAGCTGAACCCCGGTTGACTGCTTGAACTCTCATCCACGTCCAGCACTGAAGGCAGCGGTACCGTCCACTTCGTCCGCTTCTTACCCCCCTTCCTACCTTCTTTTCATCCGGGTATTTGCAGCCTCCGACAAAAAGGATCAGCAGAGAGAAGCAGGCGGACGCGGACGTGAGGAGTCGAACCCCATGAACTGCTCGCAATATCTTGCTGGACGAGCTAATTCAAACAGTGGTACGCCGTGGACCACGTCCGCTGCTTACCTCCCTTTATGCCCTCTTATCCAAGTCTTTCTCAGCCTACGATAAACAAAAATAGGCGAGGAATGGGCAAGGCGGACGCGGGGAGTCGAACCCCGTTTGACTGCTTACATGCTTTTACTCCGCGGGGAAATTGGAAGCAGTCGTGCACGGTGCACCACTTCCGTATATAAGACCCCATTCTGCACCTGGGCTTATGCAGGTTTTTGACCTGCACAAAATCAAATGCGAACCGTGAGAACAAATGTCTGCCAGGCGGATGCGGGCACCTAGCCTTTTTAACAAGGGTTGGTTGCAGAATTATGACAGACCCGCCATGCGACTTCTATTTTTTACCCCTCCATATTGGCGTGTTTTGGAAGCAAGTGAAAAAAAAATTGATCTGACTGTAACAAGATGTTTATGCGGACACGGGGAGTCAAACCCCGTGCAACTGCTTACAATTTCAACCTCGTTCAAATGCTGCAGTGGTGCACCGTGCACCATGTCCGCTTTGTACCTCTCTTCTTACCCTCTTCTAATCCCTGTTTTTGTGGCAGTCTGTTGGGGGAAAAAAATTATGCTATACGGACGCGGGGAGTCGAACCGCTTCAACTGCTGAGGATTACTGAAGAAAGCTCATTGAAGGCAGTTGTGCACCGTGCACCACGTCCGCTTCCTACCTCCCTGCCTTGCCTCTTCTGACGCAAGCTTTGTGGATATTTCGAACACAAGAAAAAGACAAGGGCCCAAGAACATGCGGACGCGGGCAGTCGAACCCCGTCTCACTACTTCGGGAAGATAGGGAAGATCACAATTGAATGCAGTGGTGCACCGTGCACCACGTCCGCTTCATAGCTCCCATTTAGCACTTTTCTCATTCAAGCCCTTGCAGACATTTGAGAATAAAAAAATGGAGACCGAGCAAGGCGGACGCGGGGAGTCGAACCCCATCAACTGCATGTAATCACGGGATACTCGACGAAATTGAAGCAGTCGTGCGCCGTGCACCACGTCCGCTTTTTACCTCCCATCGTGTCCACTTCTCATCCCTGTTCTCTGGCAGTCTGTTGGAAAAAAGAATTTTGGAAGAGCGAGGCCGCGCGGACGCGGGGAGTCGAACCCCTTCAACTGCTGAGCATTATTGAAGAAAGCTCATTGAAGGCAGTTGTGCACCATGCACCACGTCCGCTTATTCTCTGTCTTATTTCCCTTTCCTCATCCATCTTCTAGCAGTCTACTGAAAAGAATAAAAAAATGGAAGAGATGAGGGAGCAGGGCGGACGCGGGGAGTCGAACCCCGTTTGACTGCTTGATGTCGACTGGAAATTCAATTGAAAGCAGTGGTGCACCGTGCACCACGTCCGCTTCCCCTCTCCTCTTCTGCCCTCTTCTGATCCAAGTCTTTCGCAGCCTCCGACAAAAAGGATCAACAGAGAGAAGCGGGCGGACGCGGGGAGTCGAACCCCGTTTGACTCCTGCTTACATGCTTTGCTACGCGGGGCAGTTGGAAGCGGTCGTGCACGGTGCACCACATCCGCGTATAAGACCCCATTCTGCACCTGGGTTTGTGCAGGTTTTTGGCCTGCACAAAGATCAAATGCGAACCGTGAGAGCAAATGTCTGCCAGGCGGATGCGGGCACCTAGCCTTTTTAACAGGTTCATATCCAGGTTGGTTGCTGAATATGACAGACTCGCCATGCAGCTTCTATTTTAACCCTCCATATTGGCGTGTTTTGGAAGCACGTAAAAAAATTTGATCCGATAAGATGTTCATGCGGACGCGGGGAGTCGAACCCTGTATTTTTGCTTCAATTGTACAGAGAGAAGATATAATGAAGGCAGCAGTGCGCCGTGCACCACGTCCGCTTTCGGCCTCCTTTCCTCTCCTCCCCTTACCCACGTTTATTGACGCCTCGAGAGCCAAACAAACACGGTGGAAATGAGCGATGCGGACGCAGAGAGTCGAACCCCTTGAACCGCTTGCAATCTTTCCCTCGACCGCTCAAGAAATGCAGCGATGCACCGTGCACTACATCTGCTTCCTGGCTCCCTTCTTACCCTCCTCTCATCCAAGGCTTTTTGCCCCCGAGAGAAAAAAACTGGAAGCTGGAAAGTATCATGCGGACGCGGGGAGTCGAACCCCGTTTGACTGCTTCAACTACGTCTAATTCCAAAGGAATGCAGTGGTGCGCCGTACACTACGTCCGCTTCTTACCTCCACTCCTTCCCTCTTCTCATGCAGGTTTTTGGCTTGCGAAAAGCAAATCCGAACCGTGAGAACAAATGCCTGCCAGGCAGATGCGGACACCTAGCCTTTTTAACAGGTTCATATCTTAGTTGGTTGCAGAATATATGATAGACTCGCCATGCGACTTCTATTTTGCCCCTCCATATTGGCGTGTTTTGGAAGCACGTAAAAAAAAAATTGAGCTGACAAGATGTTTTATACGGACGCGGGGAGTCGAACTCCATGCAACTGCTTACAATTTCAAGCTCGTTAAAATGCTGCAGTGGTGCACCGTGCACCATGTCCGCTTTGTACCTCTCTTCTTCCCCTCTTCTAATCCCTGTTTTTGTGGCAGTCTGTTGGGGGAAAAGAAATTGGGAGAAAGATGCTATACGGACGCGGGGAGTCGAACCCCTTCAACTGCTGAGCATTATTGAAGAAAGCTCGTTGAAGGCAGTTGTGCACCATCCACCACGTCCGCTTATTCTCTGTCTTATTTCCCTTTCCTCATCCATCTTCTAGCAGTCTACTGAAAAGAATGAAAAAATGGAAGAGATGAGGGAATAGGCCGGACGCGGGGAGTCGAACCCCATCAACTGCTTCTACCGCCTCTTACCCAGGATTTTTTGAAGCCTTCGAGTCCAGAAAAAAGGGGAGAGAGAAAGCAATGCGGAGTCGAACCCCGTGTTTCTGCTTGCAGTTTGTTCATCGATTCACTCGAGGCAGTAGTGCACCGCGCACCACGTCCGCTTCCTACCTCCCTTCTTCTCCTCCCCTTACCCAAGTCTCTCTCAGCCTACGATATAAAAAGTGTCAGCGGAGGCGCATGCGGACGCGGGGATACCACGGATTACTGCTTACAATTTCAACCTCGTATAAATTCTGCAGTGATGCGCCCATCAGGAAGAAAACAACCTTGCTACGGCGCTATGCAGCGCTATGATAGCAATCCATAGCGCTTCCAGACTGCCATAGCAAGGTGGTTTTTTCCGGATGCCGTGCACTACGTCTGCTTCATACCTCCCTCTCAGCCCTCCCCACATCCATGATACTCGAGGGGAAAAAAGGTGGAAAGGAAGAAACAAGGCGGACGCGGGGATTCGAACCCCGTTCAACTGCTTTTACGTGCGCCTAAAGTGTTCACAGAATGCAGCGGTACACCGTGCACTACGTCCGCTTCCTACCTCTCTTCCTACCCTTCTCTCATCCAAGCTTTATGGCCTTTGAAGAGAAAAAGGATTGAATATCACGGGGGAGACGGACGCGGGGAGTCGAACCCCGGATTACTGCTTGCAACTTCCAGGGATTTTGGTAATTGAATGCAGTGGTGCGCCGTGCACTACTTCCGCTTCTTGCCTCCCTTCCTACCATCTTACACTCTTCTCACAGGCCTAGATAATAAAAAAGTGGACGGAAGATGGACGATGCGGACGCGGGGAGTTGAACCCCGTTAACTGCTTACATGCTTAAAATCGACAGTTACAGAATGCAGCGGCGTGCGCCGTGCACCACGTCCGCTTCCTCCCTCCGTTCTGCCCCTCACTAATACCAGCTGTTTATACTCTGGCAGGAAAAACGTTACTGGGGGAGGCTCCCGACGGCGGACGCGGGGAGTCGAACCCCGTTGAACTGCTTGCGCTATTCGCCGATATCAATGAAGGCAGCGGTACGCCGTGCACCACGTCCGCTTCCTACCTCTGTTCTGCACTTGGGTTTATGCGGGGTTTTGGAGCACCAAATCACCATTGAAAATTCGGATATGTACGGCGGAGACCCAAGCGGGATTTTCGCCGCTCGCAAGTCATGATTCCGAACGCCCGAAATTCAAAGAGAAGGAACGATGGAGAAGAAGAAGAAAGAAAAAAACGATAAAGACAGTCAGGCTCGAATGAGAATTCTCGCCTCCGTATTTATTTTGCGTTTGAATGAATGAGAAGCCCCGCTCGCAGTCGGGACCGCGTGTGGCGTCGATCGAACATTCTGCAAGACGATTCTCGACAGAAGTTCGAGAAGAGGGCGGTGTCTCCGTCAATTCAATCAAGATCCTCCTACAAATTTCTGCGAGTTATTACGATGCGGCGCGGGCAAAACGAGCGCGCGTGCGAGGGGAAGGTGGGAGGCACGGTGGCGGCGGCGCGCAAACGCGCAATGGCGCGATTCGGACGTGGGATTTCTACGTTGGGAACAGCGCGTGGCTGGTGGTAAGTAATGTGCAGCAAGTGAGGGTGAAGCAGGGCACTGGGCAGGGTATTCAAAATCGCGGGCCTGGGCCCAGCAGCTGTCGCTCGTCGTATATAATGACGACCGAGTGACTGACTGACTGAGGGGTAACTTGAAGCTATAAGAATCGTATCGTATTAGCAAGCGCACCACCGACGTCGAGGCCCAAACAGACATTCAGACGCGGGGCATGTCACCGCCTTGCCATCACACTGCTGACCGACGATCCCGTCCTCGGGCACCGACGACCTACGCTGAATCGCCGGGAGCTCTCCCGCGAACGAGCGAGTGGGCGAATGGGCCGATGGGAAAAAGAGTTTTAAGCTCTGCTCACATCGAAGTCTAATCTTGCTCGGCTGGCCGTAAGTGAATTAGCATAGCCTCGGGGAGTTGATTACGCGGTGGGTGGCCGGAGCCTGCAAGCAATAGATTCACTGCGTCGTAGATCTGAGTTGAGGTAGATCTGGATTGGATTGGATCGGGGCCGCGGATCAAATTTGCAATTCAATGAGTGAATAATCCAATTAGCCTCCTCGCCAACTAGATCGGGAACTCAGCCAACCAGCCTCGCTTGCTAAATAACGCTCTGCATTCCTTCTTCATTTTCGTTCACATTTTTATTCGCTGCGCTGGGATGGGCGACTTGTACGTCGACATGGAGTACCCCCACATCAAGTACACCGCAGACTGCCGGCGTGGGCGTTTGACGCGCCGCCGCCGCCGCCGCGCATGACCCTCGCGGGCAGCCTCGACCCGACCACCGGCATCTTCTACCGCACCCCCGAGCACCCCCGCCTCCGCACCGCGTAGGCCTGCGATAAGTGCCGCACTCGCAAGGCAAAGGTCTGTTCCTCTACCTTCCTCTCTGTGCGTTGGGGCCGAGTCTCAGTTGTGTGTGCGCAGTGCTCCGGCGACCACCCCTCCTGCGCGCGCTGCCTCGCGCGCGGGCTCGTCTGCGAATACGCCAAGGAGGGCCGCGTGCGCGGGCCCAACCGCACCCCGCGCTCGCGCCACGCCTCCGTCTCCGCCTCCTCCCAGCCCCACTCGCCCGCCCCACTCCCGTACTCGACGCTCTCCCCCACCGGCGCGCTCACGCTGGCGGCACTGGGGAAGCCAAGGCGGCGCCGCACGGCGACGCTCCCGCCCGGCGCCGCGCCCCCGCCGCTCGCGTCCACCCGCCCCCTCGCCCTCCCCAATCCGAAGCGCCTCTCGCTCCCCGCTGCGCTCGACCTCCGCTTGCTTTCTGGGGCCGTCCCGCCTTCCGCCTACTCCGACGCACGCGCCTACAACGGGGACGGAGAAGAGTCGCACCGCGGGAGCGACGACAGCTACGCGGGCGAGGTCGGGTACAGGTACGATGCGTACTTCCGCGCGCTCGACGGCTTCTCTGCCCCTCATCCGCATCCTCAATACCACTCCCATGCGCACCACCCCTCTCCGCACTCGCACCACAAGAAGCACCACCACCACGGCCACGCGAAATACGACCTCGAGGTAGGGTACGCGCTCGACCCCGCGCGCGACTCGCACCACCAGCTTCTCGATTGGCACCACCAGCACCTCGACTCGGACTACCCACATCACCACCGCCTCGACGCGGACGCGCGCGCGCAGCTCGACAGCCACGGGCGCCTCCACGCGGACGCGCACCCCCTGATGCTGCGCCTCGGCATCGACGCGTTCAACCCGCGTCGCCCCGCATCCGCCAACGGCAGCGGGACGAGCGCGACGAGCAGCTCGAGCTCGCGAAGCAGTTTCGAGTCGTTCGACGAGTCGAAGTGAGTCATAATCTCAATTTCGCCTTTCGTGCCCGCCGTGTTTCCTCCCAGTCTGTGGGCGTCGTTCTGGCTGTCTGCACTTATTTCTGCGCGTTTTTACTGCGCGTATGTCTTGCTGCGCGTACACTAACTGGACAAAAGAAATGTCCGATCGATTTCGTGATCATATCTCCACATTGGGTGCATATTTCCCCTTCAACCAAAGTATAGGATTGTAGAGGAGGACCTGGCGGAGAGGGCTAGACAATTGATCAGATCAAAATATCAGGTTTCTGCATCATTCGGGCCGAAATATGGAAAAGATTGGAAGTTCGAATTTTCAAACTCTTGCCAGGATATTTTCTTGTGCAAACTAAGTGAATCAGATTGTAGCCCGGGATGTCCTCTACAATCCCACACTTTGAATCACCCAAAAATATACAGGGGATAAGGAGATATGGCGCCCGCAAAATGGTAAAAAAAACCATCAAACTCGGCCAAATCGGCTCAAAATGGTCAAAAGTGCTTGAAACTAGCCATTTTGCGGGCCACATATCTCCTTATCCCCTATATATTTTTGGACGATTCAAAGTGTGGGATGGTAGAGGACATCCCGGGCTACAATCTGATTCACTTAGTTTGCACAAGAAAATATCCTGGCAAGAGTTTGAAAATTCGAACTTCCAATCTTTTCCATATTTCGGCCCGAATGATGCAGAAACCTGATATTTTGATCTGATCAATTGTCTAGCCCTCTCCGCCAGGTCCTCCTCTACAATCCTATACTTTGGTTGAAGGGGAAATATGCACCCAATGTGGAGATATGATCACGAAATCGATCGGACATTTCTTTTGTCCAGTTAGTGTACATTCGTTTCTCCCGAGCGACGCCCCCTTCCCGCTCGTCCGTCTGCGGACGGCGTGGCGCAGTGGGGTTTGCGCCGTGCTTTTCGCATTCCGTTCCTGCCACATGGGCACGCATCGTGCGCGGTGGTGGTCTGTTCCCTGAGGCCACCGTGCACGGGGCCCCGAGGTATGCAGCGGGCAGGCGCTGGCTTCTTGCGAACGGGTCACCAGTGCTGGCGCTTCCGTTCTTCCTCGCCGTGTCTCCCTTTCTCGCCGGGCCTCATGGCTGTGCGTCGCGTCATGCGCGGATTCGCACTGCACGACGTCCTCATCTACTCCCCCCGCTCGCACCTTTGGGCACCGTGGCGCCGTGGTTCTCGACGTGCACGGTCCGGCGCCCTGCGTGCGAGCGGCTCTTACGCCGTCCGGGACTGCTGTGTGTCGACCGTCGAAGGGCCCGTCCGTCTCTCGCGGGCGGGGCTCGTGCTGGCTCTCCTCTTGTCGCCGCCCGTGCCGCTAGTCCTCGAGGAACTCGGCTGCGTTCGTCGGGTCAGACAGGAGCGCGCGTCGGGGGCGGATTTACGTACGTACGCGTATTTGCCATAGCAGCTGGGGAGCATTTTGCGCCGGGCTAGCGGGGGGCGGCGTATTCTTCTCCTCCGCCTTGGCGCACTCCGCATCGCTAGGGCCGCGGCGCGCCTCAACGCCAGCGCGCCGTGGCCCTATTAGGTACGTACGTATGCGCATTTGGCAGGCGGGCGCGCCGTGGCTGTCTTGCGCGTCTTCGGTATTCGCGCCGCATTGCTCGCCTGCGCTCGAGGCGCGGGCTTGGGCACGCGCAGACGGCGGGCCTTGCCTGGAGGGGGGGCTCGTGCGCGCAGCGTACGGGCGGCGCAACTCCCTGCCTCCGCCCTTCGCGCAGCCTGCTTGTCCTGTCAGCGGGGCCGCGCGCCTTGGTATCTCGACGCGTACCTCGTCGTCCTCTCTCCTCTTCATCTCCCTTGTGTCCTCCCTTCGCTTCCATACGCACAACGTATGCTGACACGCGTTTGCAGCTACAGCCCACCCTCCGCCTCCGCCTCCCCCTCTGCCGTCTCAAAACTAGGCTCAGGCTCGGACTCGAGCATGAGCTGGGGAAGCTTCCCGCTCTTCCGTTTGCGCGCGCTTTGATCTCCCCTCGTCCTGTTCAGCGTCGTCGCGCCGTGAGGGGTGGGACTGTCTAGTCACGGTGAATGGGATGGTACGCCTGGGGACGGGAATTGACACCGTGTCGGCGGCGTCGGCGTCGGCGGACTGTTGGTGGATTGGAGAGGAAAGACGAGGAGAAGGCGCTTCGCCTAGGGAAGTTGTGTGATGCTGCTTCATATCATCGAAAAACTCCAAAGGAGGCCTGTTTCGCGCGGCGAGCTCGACTCGGAGGTCCGTCACGGCCTAGATTCATTGGGCAGAGTACATGGAGCCGGCGGCCACTGTTTGAATGGGAGGTCTCCATGCGTTCGGTATCTTGAGCACTCGGAGTCGTGCGC